TGTTCTACAGAGGATATCTCTATGTCTATGATATCTCTATGTTGAATTTATCTTTATTATATTACGCTACTTAAATAATGCATCTCCATGTTTTGGTACCTGATGAATTTGATGAATTTCAGCTGTGTGGGGTCACTAACCCCCTGACCCTACGCTTTCAAGTCTGAGTAAGAGCATGTTGGCTCGTAATGTCACTTGATAATAAATCTTTAACAGAAGCTCCTTGGTGTGTGATATTAAGAGGTTTTTCATGACTTGTCTTTGCAGTAAACTGTCATTTGTTTCTTTTCTTTTTTCTCCTTCCATCAGCCAGTGCATCCACCACGGGTTTACTCGCTGTGTTTGTATCTCTCAACTACTGTGATGTGGTCCACATTGCTGGTTTTGGGTACCCCAACTCAAAGAGCCAAAGACACCCTATCCATTACTATGGCTATGACACCATGAAGTCTATGAAGGTGAGTAGTAGTCTTCTGCAGTACTGAAAATACACTCTGTTTACACATTCTGAATACTGATGCAAGCCCTCTGTCTCTGCAGAACTCCTACCATGACCTCAATCATGAGGCTGAAGCCTTAAAAAGACTGGAGGATTCAGGAGCCATTTTTACCTGCACCCGCATTTATGATACACAATCTGGTTCAGTCAATTTAACCCAAAAAAACGATTGAACACCAAATCACATCTGAATCCTGGTTTGATCCAGATCAGATCTTAATGTGCCTTCTGCATTAGGATCAGACAATTGCTGGATCACTTAGTCCTCCTTTTGTAACATGAGTGTCAGAGGTGTATCTCTGGAGAATGTTATCACTGGCACCTTATATTTCCTATGATTTCTCAAGTAGAGTAACCTTAGCACTTTGTAAGATGTTTAAAGGTTTGTAACAACTTGCACAGTTGTACCTATTCATGGTGAAACCACGTGTATGTTTGTTATAACACTTTTCTGGGAAAACATTTGTGTCTGATTGTGTTGGATGTCGGATAATTCCAATGATGTTTGTTTTAAGGTCATGTAACAGGGGTTTTAAATGCTGCATCACGGGAGCATTTTATATCTACGGCGCAAATGTTTGGTTTTTTTGGGCCATTTTTGCCTTTATTGGGTAGAACAGCTGAAGAGAGCAAGAAATGTTGGGAGGAGAGAGTGGGGGATGATGACATGCAGCAAAGTGCGGGGAGGGATTCGAACCCACAGCCGCTGCTATGAGGACAATAGCCCCTGTACTTGGGGCACGCAACATAACCGCCTCTTTTTTTTGTCCAGAGACTTCATGGATATCATTTAGCTGTGAAACGAATCATCCTACACTATTCCTTTGTGAATACACCTCAACATGGTGTGACTTTAATTTGATGGGGTTTTTAAATGAAGTCTGAATCTTCTTGCTGTTGAACTTCAATCTTATTTACAGTTAAATGGGGATTTGTTTTTGTAAACTTCACTTTCAGTCTGTTTTATTTTGAATGAATGGAAAATGAATTGATCTAAATCCTGATATGCAATGTACACAGCTGGAGAAAATTCAGTTTACTGTTAGAATTCTTGGACTGGAAATACTTCTTGTATTTTGCTCATTTTATGATGGTTTTCTAATTTATTTAATCTTTTTTTTAAATTGAAACAATACTGGTAACTGGTACCACTGGATGTTTTTTATTGTACAGAAGTGAATAAATTTTTGATTGAGGAGATCAGAATGAAATTCATGTGAGTGTTTTTTTTTTAATTGGTGATGAAGTGAACAAAAAACAAGTAGGTGCACATAGAAATGGTAAATGGACTTGGAGCTTGTATAACGCTTTTCTAATCTTCTGACTACTCAAAAAGCGCTTTAACAACGCATGTTACACCTACACATTCACACACTGATGGTAGAGGTTTCTATGTAAAGTGTCCATCAGAAGTAACTAATCCCATTCATACATACATGCATATGCCACCGACAGCATTGGGAGCAACTTGGGGTTAAGTGTCTTGCCCAAGGACACATCTGAAATGTGGCCGCAGGATCTGGGGATCGAACCCTTAACCTTCCGGTTGAGAGACGACCGACTCTACCAACCTAGAAACAACAACGAAAGCAAAAACAAAAAAACACAAACCAGCAGCAAATAACACGAAACAGCAAAGACACAATATATTAATACAGATGATACATTTAAAGGAGATATGGTGAAGTCAAGAAGTAACTTTGTTTTATGTTGAGGTTATCAGAGAGGTAATGTTTGGAGATGGTGTGTGGCAGTGTAATGCATCAAAGTGAGGAGCTGCAAGTGCTCAAGAGAAAAAAAAAAAGACTGAAAAAAAAACATATAATGAAAGAAAAATGATAAAAATTAAATCAAAGGCATGGTGGTAATGTAATGTAACCATCATAAAAAAGACAAAAGTACAGTGCTAAAAAAAATGTCATTCACCCGTTTTATTTTTTTGTTTAGCTTTATTCAAGAAGAGTAATGTGCATATACAGTCAGGTAAAAAAAAACAATATTACAATGTAAATCAAGCAAAAGGCAGATTAAATAACTAAATAACATACAGTAGCCTACATAAAGGAAAGTACAAATGAAAGACAGTAATATACAGAATATAAATAAAATAAACCAATAAAGACGTTTAAATAGTGAAATCATTATTTAAATAGAGGGGAAAGGTTTATAATAATGTATACATTTGTTTTATTTTCTGTTGTAATTTAAGATAGAGATTTCAGTAGGGACTTTAACTCTAGATTAAAAATGTACTCAATTAATCCATGCTCATTTGTTTTGATTTGTAGGCGCACGTCAAGTGACGATTTACGTTTAATTTTGCACGTGTTAGTATCAAGCTATACTTTCCTTCCAATATCACTGTCACCACTAGATGGCAGCCCTCCTCTATAACGTTCACTTTATATACAGTAAACAGTTTACTGCACTGCACATGGTGCATTCATGCAGCAGCCCATCTGAAAGTGCCTGAGGTAATGGTAACAGTACATGTACAGGAACACATGTACAGTATGGACATCTGGAGAACCAGGAAACACTGCAGAACACTTATAATTGAGATTGACTTACATACTTTTGCCCTAAGTGACAGATGTTAATGGTGCTTTCTGCTCACTGTACACACCGAGGTATATGAGTGTTGACATAAATAGAGCTGTGCCTTTGGCATGTGTAAAGCAGCCTTACTCATATTGTACAAAATCAGCAGTGACAAGGACCAGATCGTCAGCTTAGGTCTGAGTGACAAGCATCATCTGATGTGCTGCCAATCATAGGGATGCCTTTATAAAGTCTTCTTCTACATTAGCTACAGCTAATTATAAGAGTGCCAGCTTCATTATTGCACTACATTCTTAATAATCTGATGTGATTTTTTTCTTTCTAATTCAAGTGATTCTCTCTCCAGTGAAGTGTTGAATATCTGAATAGTGAAGTAGACCGTCTCAAGGTCAGATTCTAAGACAAGTACCTTTGTAGTGTTGGTAAGATGTGCTCTGCTGGTGTCTGCCAGTGGAGCTCAAACACACATCAATGACAGGATGTTTAAAATACCATGTAATAATCCTATTATTGTACACATTAGCTCAGCTGTGTGTTCTGTGCTGCCTAAATCTGTGTGTTGAGCCTGCATATCGCTGATACCACAATCACACGCCTACTCTCATATTCAGTTATCTACAGCCGGTCAGTTGATGGTGCTAACTGATTTTCTTGTTGCTGAAACCCAATCTGAAAAAAAACAAAACGTCCTTTTCATCCCATTTAAAGCCTGTCATTTCCATTCTGAGAGCGATCCATTATGTATAGAGGGTGTATCGTTTCACACTGTAAAACCATTCGCCTAACCTCCTTTTCCATGCATTCAAACGTGTTTTAAAAAAGCACACAAGTACTCGTTCCACGTGTCTGCGCTCAGGTAGACCAACACCTTAAACATCCCACCTGTGTTGTGTCCTCAAAACGTACAGGTATAGTCAGTATAGACAATGAGATGTACTGTTGGTATGTATTTGTTTTTGCAACAAAAGAGGAGAAAGCCATCATCATGTCACACCTGACACACTGTGCTCACTTCCCTTACACAACAGGAAGTTACATCATTGAACAGGATGTGTGTGAGTCTGCTGGCTGTTTATGTGACAACTGGAAATCAGGTCAGACTTTTCTGCAGAACGTGTTGTACTGTAAGCACACCTTTGAACCCAGAAGTCATGACTGTGCTTCAGTGTGCTACAGAAGGATATGTTATGTGCAGCGCTATTAACCAAAGCATCTTACGCTACAAAAACTGTATACATATTTTTAGCCTGGAAAGCTAAAGCCCTAACCCTGGCACTGATCGCACTGTGGAGTACCAACTGAGTCCCGTAAGCCCATTTAAGGATGTTAGCATGACCAAACGAGCGCACCATTGCACTTAACAATAAGATTCATTTGAAATGCATAGCTTTGAACTTTCAGGCGGACCTTTAGCGCACTACGACCTTCAATGCTTTGGATGTAATTTTACATTGCTGCAATTTCATAGAAAAAAAGACATGACCCGTGATGATTGCTGTATAAGTGCAGTCTCATGCAGGCAGAAGCCGTGTGATGGTTATAGCATCGTATCTCATTACACCATCTGCTCTCTCTGCACAGTGTTCTCAGCACTGCCACTGCAACACGTCTGCCTCAAAGCAGTTGTTTTCTTCTTAGAAAACCTTGTTTCTCTCATAGATAATGAACTGAAGTGTCAGACTCAGCACACCAAGGTGCAGCATATCTAATAGATGTTAATGACAGGCAGAAATATAATAATGATGCGGTAAATGAAAAGAAACAAGCATCTATTGTGCAGGTGAGGAGTGCAGAAAGAAAGTCAGGAGCTGTAACACTTTTTTTTTTTAAAGTGCCATAAGCAAAAAGGGCCAGAGAGCTTTTACTGATGTTTGCTTTCTACCATGAGTCATGGAATTGATGTTTGAGGTACGCCTGAGAAAACAGCTGAGGCATCCGCATTTTTTTAGGGGTATTGTTAAAATAAAAATGAAGAGACACAAAAATGTGGCTCTATGGTGTGTGTCTGTGTGAGGAGCCCAGAGGACAGTTTGTGTGGGAAGAGGCAGAAGAGGTGCAGTATGCAGCCAGATACCTAGAGAGAGGGCATCTGGCTTTGGCTCACCGATAACTCCCCCACAGCCCAGAGAGCTACCGTGAGTCAGGTGCTCATACAAACACTGCCATGGGAACCAGGAGTATGAGTAGGAAATAAGAGTGAGAGAGAGAAAAAAAAGAAAAAAGATAAGCTGCTTTTCTCCTGTGTGAGTTGTGCTAGTCCTGCTCTTTCCTTCATAAAGCCCCTTTCTCTGACTCTCATATGGGCACTTCCTCCCTACAGTATGATGTCAAATGTTCAGTATGATTCCTTCCTCTACTCCCCAAAGAGACTTCAGGCTAAAAAAACAAAAAAATGACTTCTTCAACTGAAGATAAGCAACAGACCTAAAAAAGACTCAATGAAAAAAGAGACACAGGCTAATTGACAACACTTTATGCTAAGTGGTTGTGTGTGTCTCTGTTACACAGCCCCAAAGGTCAGCCAACTCAGCTGATTTAAAGGCTAACGCGTCATCATTGTTTCCTAACAGGCAGCCAAAGGAACATTTTCTGTTTGCTCAGTGTTTGTTTTTTTTGTTTTTTTTGCGGTGAACTCAAGAAAATGACGTGATGTTTTGCTTTTTGTGTAAATGAGATGAAATATAAACTGTTGTTCCAAATATGGTTTTTATATCACGTTCTAGAAAGGTAACATCACTGAAGAGATGCTGAGTTTAACTTAAAGAGGACATATTAAACCAGAGGAGGTTTGTGACCCTGTATAAACTAGCTCTCTCAGAACACTCCGTTTTGGTGTGTGTGTCTCTTTAAATGCAATGGACATATTAAACCAGAGGAGGTTTGTGACCCTGTATAAACTAGCTCTCTCAGAACACTCCGTTTTGGTGTGTGTGTCTCTTTAAATGCAATGAGCACCCCCCCCCCCCCCCCCCCGAGTTTTCCCAGTAGACATAACTCCTCTGTAGTGAGAATAAGAATGGCGGACCTGCGCAAAGGTTTTTCCTTTAGGCTGGGGGTGGAGTCCATGGGTGGAGATACCAGGGGAGGGAAGGGTATTTTGTCCCACTGTGACATCACAAGGAGAGCAAATTTGAAACGGAGCATTTTTCTCTGTTTTGTAAGACTTATGCAGACCACAAACAAAGGACTGGATGGGATTATTTCACATTTTGTGGGTTGGTAGACACTCAGGTTAACCAAATATATCTTCAAAAACACTGTAAAAGTTTATTTTTCATAATAGGACCGCTTTAAAAACTCATTATTTTATGTTTCTGAGGAAAAATGTACTCAGAGATCAACAGGAATTCAATGTTTCCCAAAACTGGTAAATAAAGAAACTTGTCCTTTAAAATGACTATCAAAGAAAAAGGAGACGCACACTTTTTTTTCTCCCTGATATTATTACTATATAACAATCCCATACCTTCACCTTTCCATTCATGACCTGTATGGCCTGATAAACATGAGCCGACTTGTTTTCATTGACACATAAAAAAATCAATCAATCCATTACCACTTGTTCTTTTTAGGGTCACAGGGGGCTGGAACTGTCATGAACCCAGCTGTGAGGCAGTTACACACCAGCAGGTCAGGCCAACATACAGAGAAAA